GGGGCCAAACTTCCCTTTTTAGTCTTTCCCGACATCAGGGGATTGCGACCCTACAACCCAGCTAGGGTGATGCGGCAATTCTGTAGAACACAAATCACACCTTTCCAAGGGGATGCTAGCTCCTTCATCGTCAATTACAATGGGCGCACTAAAATTCCTTTCGCCAAGATCATCCTCCAAGAATGGGTTGGACGTGTCAACATGAAATGGGGTATGGCTGAAAACAGGTATGAAGCTGGGTATGTCGATTAATATAAGACATGGTTGCAGAATGATTTGTGTGGCATAGTGAACCCAACACCCCGTGTGGGTCGAGAAGTTGAAGACGTACATATAAGGCTCTATATCCACGCATATCCTTTTCAGCAAGAATGGGAAAAAAGGGAGCATGTATTTTAGCGAAGGGAGCAAGACTACCAGTCCAAAGAGTTAGAAAATCAGAAGGCTTTAGCTGTGATGTTGCAAAAGCTAGCCGATGCAAGGGTTTGTTTAGTTCGTCTAGATGCAACCCTAGATGAGCAGATCAATACTCTACAGGTTGTGCCGTCATCTTCTAAAGTTGTGTTCACTGAGCCATATGTGGTAATGAGTAAGTGAATCAACCGCAAAGGGGTAGAGAAAGCCAGAGGAGGAGCAGGACCGTCCACCTTCTAATTCCCTTGCGCGGAATTGTTTTCTATTTGTATTCATAATATATTTCCCTCCCCTAAAAATGTACCCCATTTTGATTGAAATTGTGTAATGAACGTTATGATTTTAAGTGAGGTTTATTTTTGGGGATGCAACAATTTTTTTAATTCACGCAATACATCCTTCAGATCGCTAGGTCTATCCTTGGCACAAAAGGGTCACATGCATGATTAGGACATGATATATGTGTTTTAACTATTTATGTTATATGTTGCTTTGAATGAGGATATCATTAACCCACTCCTATAAAGAAATTTCTAAAAATACACATACAAGTCACTATTACAGAATGTCCGACAAATTTTCCAAGTCTTGAGTTTCTCACCCCAAAAACACCTCTCATACACCAAATCCAAAAACATTACTCTAATGTCTCAGGAAAAGCAAATTACTGCTGTGGATAAGGGTAAGAATATCCAGATGGAATTCACTAGATAAAATTTACAAATAAATATAGAACAAATCACTCGAGAAATTCAAAAGACCAAGGAGGAAGGGCTCAGAGTCGAAAAGGCCACAGCGATCTACAAAGCTGCAACTGCGACACTGGATGAGGATATGGCATCAAAGATAAAGAGGAAAAAAGACGTTGAGATGGAGAGAGAAGACTTGAGTTAGAATTTAGAGATGCTTCGACTGAAGGTGTAAGAAAGGGAAGCAAGAGAGGCGAGGATAGAGTCAGAAACCGCTATTCTGTTAGCCAGAAATGTGTCACATGATGAGGAGCTGATAGCGAAAATGAAAGAATTCAACTTTACGAGAGAGAGGATGGCCTCACTGAGGAAGAAGAACAAGGCCTTCCATAGAAACATGATTGACAAACTTCAGGGAATAAGTGGGAAATACTCTAATCGCGAGCAGGAAGCTAATGCTGGTCCTGATTACGCCCACCCTAGAGCGACTGGGGAAGATGGCGATGAGGAAATTATCAAAAAATCTCCATTTCTAGGCCATCTTAGAGGAGAAGATAAGTGGATCACTCTTCCGGACTACGAGACAACGCCTAGTATGGGGGCGAGGGTTTTGTCTTGCACCCTTTTGTACGAAAATTTCGATATGGGTACCTAAGGAAGGATCATTTTCAATCTTTCAAAAGGAAACTACTCGAAAGTATGTTCCTTCCACCCAAACCAGAGAGGACACACCATAGAGGAATGCATGCAACTTAAGATGAGGATCTTCCACCAAATCGACATTGGGAATATCCTGTACATGTGGGGTAATGATACCATTCTCGCTTATGATCCGTCGGAGCCGATTGAGCGTACTCAGTTTGTTTGTCACTATTTCACTCTGTTCAAAGAATAAATGTTGCATATCTACATGGATTTGGTCAAGAATGGGGTCTTAGACTTCCTCCAAGATGATGACAGAGGCTTCGATCCCGTTGAGGGAGAAATCTTCAAACCTTGTGCTTACCATGATGCTATAGATCATAGCATCTCAAAGTGTCTTGGTTTTTGTTACGACCTCTAATCCCTCGTTAATATGGGTTAGATTCGATTCGAGTTTACTCCTCGTGACTGATACTGCAATGAGAAGAAGAATGACTGAGATGTAGTCATTATTTTTTTAAAGCTTTGTTGTCTTACGATTTCCTTGTAATCGCAATGAATGAATGAAAATATTTGCTTTATTACTTGAACTACGTTGGGCGTGATTTCTCCTTGTGAGATACGTAGGCAGCCTTCCAATGCTCGGCTTCTATCTTCTAAAAATTTCATTCTCCCCCTTCATATAACAAGAAGATACGAAGACCTGATCAACAGACGTCAAAAGAGAAGCTGAAAAAAGACTTTGCTCAACATGATTTAGCCATTCTTAGATAGTGTCAAACTAAAACAAGCAAACTCCTGCTTGTTAAAAATTTCTTTCCGGCCTTACTCTTGGGTTGAAGATATCCTTAAACAAAGCAACTTGTGTGTTTTTCTGCTCTCTGTGATATTATGCATTTTGTATTCTGAATCCAAACTGACAAATCTACCTTTGAGTTATTTTCCTCCTCAGGTACTTTGAGACTGATCTGTGTCGATTAAGCTAGAAGATCATCCCTATTTCACCATATCCAAAGGTCCGACAGATGCCTTTCCTAGACAAGATTCAGATAAAAGAAAAACAACAACGGGAGATAACAATGAAAAAGTAAGTCTCACTGACATTGTGGTGGCTCAAGCCACCATAGCGGACCTGAACGAATTGATTTTGCAACTGATGCAACAGATTGAGGAGAGAAGGGTGGAGATGCAAAGGATACAGGATCTACCTCCACCAAGTTTTGCTGCTAACGCTGCTGATGGGAGACCCCCTCTCTACTTCCCTGCTGCAAACATGGATCCAACTAAGAATCTGCCATCTACACCTGCCCAAAATTTTTTTATTACAGACTTGACTAGACAAAATCCCCAATGTGCTTCCACATCCTATCAAACTCCACCTCCTCCTCAAAACAACCACTCCCAAATATCACCCCATACTCAAAATACCCAACATCAAACCGCTTTACCACCGCAAAACTAAAGCCAAAATCAAAACCAAAATATTTTTAATCCCCAAACACCCCACCACCACTTAAATCAAAATACCGATCCTCAAACTTATCCACAGAATTATCAAACCGCTCAAAATTCCCGGAGTCCCTCTGTAGCTCCACCCTTACCTAAAAGGACCACTTTCCAAATTGATGTCCCTACCGAGCATGATGTGCACAGTTCTGAGATGGACCATTATGAGGAATATGAAAGGGATTGGAGAGAAAAGGAAGAGTCAAAGGTGGACAAAAAAGAGATCAAGAAGGCTATGAAAGAGCTCTAATGCGTCCCTGATACCGCCAGTCTCAACTATGAGGATTTATGCATTCATCAAAATCTGAAACTTCTAGAAAGGTTCAAGATCCCGAAGTTTGATACTTTCAGATAAGTGGCAAACACTGTGGCTCATCTGAGAGCCTACTGTGATCAACTTGTTGGAGTTGGTAGAGATGAAGATTTGTTGATGCGGCTCTTCAGCTGAAGTTTGTGCGGGGAGGCTCTGGAATGGTTCACCTCCCACGAAACCATGCAATGGACAAGCTGGAATGCCTTGGCCAATGATTTTATTGATCAGTTTGCTTACAACGTGAAAATTATTCCCGATCAGTACTCTTTGGAAAAGATGAAGCATAAATCCACTAAGAGCTATAGAGAGTTTGCCTACACGTGGAGAAAGGAAGCAGCCAGGGTAAGGCCGCCTATGTCTGAGAAAGAAATAGTGGAAGCGTTTGTGCTGGTGTAAGAGCCCAAATATTATGATAGGATATGTTGCTCATTGGAGAAAAATTTGCTGAGGTAGTCAAGATTTGTGAGACTATCGAAGATGGTTTGAAAACAGGTAAAATAGCCTGTGTTGCCGCATCGCTTGGATTTGAAGAAAAAGAGAGAAGAAATTGATGTTGTCTCTTGTGAGGGGAAAAAGACTCCAAAAGATCATTGTCTTCCTAAGGTCATCCTTGAACTTCCCATAACTCCTATCAAGCTTGCTAAAGTCATCCAAATAGTCCCCCTGCAGTCTACCAAAATACTACCTTCACTTACGAATATGCCCCTTCTCCAAATTACCAATGTCCATCCCCGATTTATCAAAATCCTCCTCCATTTTACCAAATTTCATCCCCCCATTACAAAAATGTTGCTCCCAACTGTGACAATGTGCAGTCGAGCTACAGAGCACCCCCTCCTGTCCATCAATTCCAAGATCCAATATACCAAAATACCCTCAAGAACTTCCAAGCTCCATCACCAAATTACCAAACAAATCCATATCCCAAAATCCAAGATCCCCATCCAAATACCAGAAGTTATCAACAGGTATCCCCTCCACAACAAGGCATTATGATCCACCTCGACCCGGTTTCTAGAGAAGCCTCCCAGGAACTTTACTGCGCTCACTGAAATTTGAACAAAGTTGTACGAGCGGATGGTTGCAGTTGGATATATCCACCGGTGGGGCCGAATTCGGTTGATACTAGTTCAAAATTTTATAGGACCTATGAAAGGTGTGTGTATCACTCCAACTGTGTTGGACATGATACCGAAGACTGCTTCAACGTCAAGCACAAGATTCAAGATCTGATTGAATAAGAGGTGGTCTCTCATCAAGCAGCTACGCCTAATGTCAACACTAACCCTTTGCATAATCATGGACACGTCAATATCAACATGATAGAGACGGACGATGATTGGTGTGTTACTAAGGTGATAACTCTAATTGTGCATGACGAGTTAGAAAAGGTTGTTGACTCATTGAGCGTCAGAGAGAAAAAATAGTTCGTGATCATGACACCCGCAAAGGATGTTGCCTTGGTGCCATCAGAGACTCTTGTCAGACCAAAATTTGTGATTGAAATTACTGCCGCACAGGGTATGACACGATATGGGAGGTGTTATACTCCCGAAAATCTAGCTCTTGTAGAACAGAAGAAGGACCAGGGTAAAAGGCCAATAAGCGAGGGCGAAGCGTAGGAATTCTGGAGAAAGATGCAGCTAAAAGATTATTCTATTGTTAAATATTTGGAGAAGACTCTAGCCCAGATTTCCGTATGGACCCTGCTAATGAGATCTCAATTGCATAGGCAGGCCTTGATTAAGGATCTTGATGATACTTATGTGCCCGTCGTCAAAAGCAGAGATAATGTGTCTGCTATGATTAATCAAGTTATCCGAGGGCATCAGATTAGCTTCTGCGATGATGAGTTTCCTTCTTGAGGGAGGTCACACAACAAGGCATTGCACATCACTGTTGTATGTCACGAGAAGGTCATAAATTGCATCTTGGTGGATAACGCAACTGGTCTGAACATTTGCCCATTATTGACACTAAGGCAGTTAAGGTTTGACTTGGGGAAGCTGGAACAAAACCAAGTCAATGTAAGAGCTTTGACAAAGTGCAGAGTTATACGTTGGGAGTGGAGAATCTGATCATTAAAATTGGTCCTGCAGAATTCAGTGCACAGTTCCAAGTCTTGGACATTGACACAAGCTTTAACCTTCTTCTGGGAAGGCCTTTCATCCATATGGCTGGAGCTGCGCCTTCTACTCTTCACCAAATGTTGATGCTTGCTTGGAAGGACGAAGAATTAGTTATTCACGGCGATAGAAGTCATTCCGGCAGACAGACGCCTATTATTGATGAAGTTTTGTGAGGTATTGATTTCTACACGGTTGAACTGGTATGCCACTGGTGAGGATTTGTCCCCACATACTCTCATGCCTACCATGTACAAGATAATAGCCATTGTGATGCTGCAGAATGGTTTGAAGCCAAGTTTTGGATTGGGAAGAAATTCCCATGGGATTGTTGAGCCTATTCCAGTCCCCGTCAAAGGAGCTAGATATGGTTTGGGGTGCATCCGCACAGATAATGATATGAATATGAAGAAGAACAGTAATCAAGCATCGGTTAAGTCAATCCCTTATCTATATCAATCATTTCTAGTCTGGGAGTATGCCGAGCATGACGACCTTGGGAAAGGAATTTGTGGCCTTTTGAAGGAGATTGATGTTGTTATTGAGGAAGAGGTCGAGATAGCTGGTATCCATGATGTTGCGCCTGGAGACATGTTGTAGAACTGGACCTCCATGTCGATTATGATTCCCCAAACTCCTTGGTAGAAGGGCATCATTTATGCATATTTAAATTTGTGGTAGACCGGAAAAGGCACGAGACCCATCATTTTTCATTTTCCTTAATTGCTTGAATTTTAAAATTCCCCCATGATGTTTGGAAAAGGCAACATGGATTTTTTTCCATAGCCAAACTTTGCATTATTTCCCAATTTGAATGAAATCCTCTTTATTGAAAATTTGTTTATTTACTCATCTGCTATACTTTGCTTTTATAACTTTGTCTATTTAAATTTTTAGTAATATAAGTTTTAAACTTGCCAATGTCATGTCATGTCACGAGCTAAACGAACAAAATGAAGCAGGTGATGAGCAGGTCGATGAATACGAAGAGGAAAATAAGGCACCGAAATATGTTGCTGAAGAGTTTCTGCAGTTTGAAAATCAGAATAAGTCAAATTTAGAGGAAACTTAAATTGTAAATTTGGGAGACCAAGAGTGTGTTAAGGAGGTCAAAATCAGCGTTCACTTAAATGAAGATCAAAGAAAGGGCCTGATTCATTTAATCACCGAGTACATTGATGTGTTCGTCTAGGAGGTCAGCAACATGCTAGGGCTGAGTACCTATGTTGTGTCTCACAAATTACCGATTAATCCAGGGTTCAATCCGATGAAATAGAAGGCTCAGAAGTTCAAGCCTGATTTGAGTTTAGAGATTAAAGAAGAGATTACCAAGAATATTGAGTCCAGATTGGTGGAAGTGACGCAATACCCGACTTGGTTGGTCAATGTTGTTCCGGTTGCCAAAAAAGATGGGAAGATCAGAATTTGTGTCGACTACTGAGATCTCAACAAAGCCATCCCAAAGGATAATTTTGTATTTCCAAACATTCATATTCTGATTGATAATTATGCTAAGCATGAAATGCAATCATTTGTGGATTGTTACGCAGGTTATCATTCTAATGGACGAGGAAGATGCAGAAAATACAGCTTTTATTACACCTTGGGGTGTATATCATTACAGGGTGATGTCATTTGGTCTCAAGAATGTTGGTGCTACCTATATGAGGGCTATGATGACTATATTTCACGATATGATTCATAAGGAGATTGAGGTGTATGTGGATGGCATCATAATCAAGTCCCACAAGAGTTCAGACCACGTGACACACTTGAAGACATTTTTAACCATTTTCGGCGTTAAAAATTGAAGTTGATTCCCGTTAAATGTGATTTTGGAGTGCCGACCAGCAAGTTACTGGGATTTATAGTCTGCAGAAGAGGTATTGAGCTTGATCCTTCCAAGATTAAGTCAATTCAAGAGTTACCTCCGTGAAAGGCTAAGAAGGAGGTGATGAGTTTCTTAGGGAGGTTGAACTACATCTGTCAATTCATAGATCAATCAAGTGTGGTGTGCGATCCTATATTCAAGGTGTTGAAGAACTCGACAAAGTGGACTTAAGAGTGCCAGACTGCTTTTGATGCAATCAAGAACTATTTTTCCAATCCACCGGTATTTGTTCCTTTGCGAGAAGGGAGTCCATTGTTGCTGTATTTATCATTCTCAGATAGTGCATTCGGATGTGTTCTTAGTCAGCATGAAGAGACAGGAAATAAAGAAATGGTTAACTATTACATAAGCAAGAACTTTACTCCATACGAGTTTGGTTGCACTTTGTTGGAGAGAACATGTTGTGCTTTGACTTGGCTTGCCAGAAGTTGAGACAATATTTGTCTTCTTAATACTACGTACATCATTTCTAGGATGGACCCGCTAAAGTATATCTTCCAGAGAGTGATGCAGACCGGAAAGTTAGGTAAATGGCAAATGTTGTTGAGTGAATCTGATATTGTGTATGTGACTCAAAAGGCGATAAAGGCACAGGCCTTGGCTGATCATCGTGCAAAAAATCCTATTGACGAAGAGTATGAACCGCTCAAAACTTATTTTCACAATGAGGAAGTATCGTTTGTGGGAGAAGATATTTCTAAGATATATTCTGGCTGGAGATTATTCTTTGATGGAGCAACAAATCACCAAGGAAATGGCGTCGGAGTGGTTTTAGTTTTAGAATCCGATCAACACTATCTTATGGCAGCTAAACTCTAATTTAATTACACGAACAACATGGACGAATATGAAGCTTATATCCTCGATTTGAAAATGGCCATTTACATGAATGTCCATGAGCTGTTGGTTATTGGAGACTCAGATTTTTTGATTCATCAGATTCAAGGAGAGTGGGTAGTAGGAGTAATAATAATAATAATAATAATAATAATAATAACAATAAGAAGAAGAAGAAGAAGAACAACAACAACGATGATAATAATAATAATAATAATAATAATAATAACAACAACAACAACAACAACAACAATAATAGTAGTAGTAGTAGTACGAGTAGTAGTAGCAGTAATAATAATAATAATAATAATAATAATAATAATAGTTACAACAATAAGAATGATGACGATGACGATAATGATGATGCTGATGATGATGATGATAATGATGATGATGATGACGATGATGACGATGATGACGATGATGACGATGATGACGATGACGATGATGATGACGACGACGACGATGATGTTGATGATGACGACGATGATGATGACGATGATGATGATGATGACGATGATGATGATGATGATGACGACGATGATGACGATAATGACGATGACGATGATGACGATGACGATGATGACGATAATGACGATGATGACGATGACGACGATGACGATGATGACGACGACGACGACGATGAT